GAAGGGGGGAAAGGTGTGTTAGGATACCAGCAGAAAGCGTCCCCAATCATGGGCCGAGGAATACACCTAACCCATTAACAGTGATTGGAAGTCGCCTTACAAATTACGTTTCTGTAATTCGTTACTTTTCCCTGTAACTAGTAACGGTGTAAAGAGCAAATATTCATGAAATGTATGCATTTTTAGAACACGAGTTCGATGTAGTAATGTGAAAACCAATTTTCAATGGTTTACCTTTCTTCAACCTCAACCTCCTCAACCTCAACCTCAACCTCCTCAACCTCAACCTCAACCTCCTCAACCTCCTCAACCTCAACCTCCTCAACCTCAACCTCCTCAACCTCAACCTCCTCAACCTCAACCTCCTCAACCTCAACCTCCTCAACCTCAACCTCCTCAACCTCCTCAACCTCCCCTCTTTCTTTACGGAACTCAATAACGTTAAGCCTAGGCACAACCGACGGACTGTCTTCGGGTAGGCCTACTTTTCTCCGTTCAAAAGAAACTCAATCCTCGGCCTACGGGCCAATTAGGCCTATGATTAATCCCTCGTCCTCGAGACACCTCGTTGAGGACGTGTAACGTTAGGCAAATCGCAGGCCTATTCAGTCTCTCATGGCACATTTAACAGAAAACTTGTGACTTTAGACCGAATGTAGGTCATTTACGAGTTTCATGAGCCAATTCAGTGCGGTCGGAGAACATTAGGCCTATCCTAAGTTCCTCGAATCGTCTCGACTGGTTCTGAGAAGAAAGTGCCTTTAGAAAGCATGACGTACACGCGTGCAGCAATCATGCTAATTTAGGGATGTCCGGATGAGATATCTCCGTATTCCACCAAATTCATCGGCCATTTCATTGCAGACAATTCATTGCAAACCACCGTTTCGATCTCAGCTCATCCCATGAATTCAGCACAATACTGTCTCATAGATTAAAAAGAGAAGATGCAGACAACGATACTAAGGCAGAAGAAGTCATGAATCTGGGATAACTAAGGCACGATATCCGGCAACACTGGAGGACGGGACTGGAGCCATCTCGCTAAACCCAAATTAACGGCATCTAATTTCATTTTTCATGACGAAATGAGGCACTGGAAGCAACAAGGACACTTTTTGTCACCTCCAGGTCAATATCCTTCGTTTGGTTGGTCTCTTTCCTCCAAAAACTTCCCAAGAGCGGCTACCCAGGGGGGGAGAAAAAAAAACACCGGAACGAAATTCCCATCCCCCAAAAGCGAGATCCAGTGATCTCCGCAACCCCGGGGAGATGGAGCTTCAAATTTGTTGGAGCGATTCTGTGTTGAGAAAGGAAGAACTATGCCAAATTTCGTTCCTGTTGATGCTCTCAGAGAGGAATACGAGACGGTCGAATTTTGTTGTCGGAAGGGGCTGAAGAAAGGTAATGGGCGCTACTACGCCCATTGATTTCCGCAAAAGTAATTCATTTTTTCTTCGGTTTCGTCCTTCGTTTCGTGAACGCATTACCAAAGCTCTCACGCACGTGCACGTGCAACGCGAATGACGGAAACACGCCAGAGGCAGGCTCGGGGTATTCTCCGTCACGCCAAGCTCGTTCTACCCAACGCTGTCGGTCGTCATGGTGTCTTCCGATGTGGTTGCAATCACCCAGTAGCAGTACTATGGCTCTTTTGTTGACAGCGAGAAAGACGAGTTATAGCGAGAAAGAGACTATTTTTTTTAAGCAATGTGTATTTCGTCATTGTCTTTGCAAAATGTAGCGCAAATAACTTGAAAGGTAACTTTCCCATTTCTGTCAACCCATTATCCACTGGGGTCCCAAAAAACTTGAAATTTTGGCAATTATGCCCCCAGAAGTGGGAAGCGGTGCTTTTGACTGAAACGCAGCTGCGTTGGATGTGTTGGAGATGACTTTCCAAGATGGAGAACCATCTTGGGAAAATTCATGCAAGAAATTCAGGCGGCCAAGAAAGACGAGTCAAAACTGGCTGGAAACGAGTTTAAATCCCCAAAGTTCGAGTCTGGCATCAGTCTAGGACTCGAGGCGCCACACGCGTGGCAGTATTTGTTGCTCCACGTGATGCCGCCCCGTGCGCGTGGGCGACAAGACATCGTCTGCGTATTTCTCCCGACTCGACTTCCGAGGAACACAGATCGTCGTTGACGAATGGGCACGCGAATGCCGCGGTCGACACGAGTTCGAGCCGTGAAAGTCGTCCTCACCGACAAAAAAAAAGGGAGAATAAAAGCGGAAAGGCTTCGAGCGAGAAGTCTGTCGAACGACGGGGAAAAAGAAGCCTCGGCACTGCCCGAAATACCCCACCTCCTGAATTGCGAATGTAGGTGCAGGGTGGGCCCCACCGAGCTCCAAGAAATAGGATAATTTCTCGAGGCGACGCGCTATGGGATGAGTGAGCTGCATCTTGATGCCATCTCGGTCGGTATCATGGCGGTTCCTCTGCATTCACTCCTATGGGATTCCCTCCATTTTCCTTCCCCCGTTCTCTCGTAAATGCAAGCATTACGAGAGGCGGTCGTCGCATGGCAAGCGCGATCGTTCCTCCGAGAATCCCACGGGTTCCCGAGGAGTCCGTCGAGAACTAATTCCTTTCGTGCGTGCCGGTCCCGAATTTCCGAATAGGGCAAAAGTCACGGCCTGCCCTTGCCGGGATTCCCGTGCTCGTAATGGGATCATCGATGCGTCTCCTTTCGACGATCGCGGTAGGACTTACGAAAAGGTCCAGGACGTCCGGTCGATCCCACTCCGTAACGAACGCCCAGACTCACAGGGGACGAAGGGCGACCGAGGAACGATCCCAGCCTCCCGTATCACGTGGGGCTCATCCCGGTCCGCAGCGGAATTCCCAGTACTTTCCAACTCTGTGCTCTTCCCCATCGGGCATTGTTCGATTGTGAAACCTCAACTGCGAACCGACTCGATGCGCTTGGCCTTCAATAAAATAGACCAGCAGCGAACGTCGGTGGTCTCTGGCACCAGTCCGATATATTACATCCACCGATCCCAGCAAGGGCAAGCGTCGAATTTGAGGTTCATTTCCGGAAATTTGGGGGCCACAAGCATTAAGGAAAGACGTCCTGGAAACGTTTCGTGGAGCTTACGAGATTCTCTGAGGAAAGACCACGCCAACCGTGCAATGGCTGCTTCCACCGTGTTAGCATTTACACGAAAGATGAGATGGAAACCGGGGGAAACTCCCAAAAGGGAGAACGGCGAAAAACCGCAAAGACACCAACCAACACGGCTTCCAACTGCATTGCGTTTTCCAGTGTCGCTCCCATGACTGCAAGACTCCAATACTTCTAGTCGAGTGGATGGGCCTGACGCCAGAGCCCTCTCTCATGCCGACCCGACCGACCCCTGTGCCAGGTCTGAGATAAAAACTTCCGGCACTTGATGGGGTCGCTTGTTATGACTTTTTTTTTTTCTTAATGGAGAGTCGGAAGGCATGCACCATACGACAATACCAATTTCATTGTAAGCTAAACTTATTTCATAATAGGCATCCAGAGTGCGAGAATGATTATCCCTGTTGTAAGAGTTCCCCCTCTGGGTCCACGATGAAATCACTTGAATCGATTCAGTGTAAGTGCCTGCCACCCATTGTTTGGCATGACGTAATGCAAGAGTATTTTTATTATTATAGTACAATGCAAGCTAGAAACGATCGGGAGAGATTACATTCAGCGAACGCACATAGAAAACACGAAACGATGGAGAAGAGACAGGATATTCTTCTCCACGAAGACGGCCACGTCCGAGTCGGGTCGGACCATGCAATAAAGCCGGAAATCGAGTCACGCGGTCTGGCCAGCGCCTGAAGATGGCGCGGGGCCGATCGGGTCTCGTCCCAAAAGTCCGACCCGTTCAGCGCTCTACTTAACGTAGGACCATTCTAATTACCTCCCAGCGGACGACAGACAACAGAATCAGCCCTCATTGATGACTGTTCGACAATACCGACTTCCTGTTCCCCTCGTGTGGCAACAGCGGAACTACTCACGACGATAAACATTGTATAAACAGCCCGTAGAATTAGATACATCTCTGACATTGAAACCAGAACCGGAATGAAGAGCATAGCTCAGCAGGTTGTTGGTTTTTTTTTTTTCTAACCATGATGGAAAATAACCAGGGGCTCGAGCCAATTACCAGAACTGGAATCCATGAAATGGTGCGTACCCCGTAACAAAAAAGCTCTTCCCCATACCGAAAATTTCTCGCAACGAGCATTTTTAATTTTCGCCCTAGTTTCGACCGCCGGGACCGAAGGTGTCAAGCAGAAACGAGAGAAAGGCCACGGACATACCCGGACGCCGTAGGTGATGCCCTCGTTGGCGATCTTCGTGTCGGGATGAAGCCAGCCGAGAGCGGGTTTATTGATGAAGGGACCGCCGGAGTCCGTCGGTGTGCGCGGCATCACTATATGGGTCACCACTGCCTCTCCGTCCAAATGAAAATCTCCTTCCTCTTTCCCCTCCACCAAGATTCTTTTCTCGTAGTTCCTGTACACTGTCCGGGTCCCCAGTTCAAGGCGGAGCAACGTCCCTTCTAACCTGTGACCCGAATGTTTCTCCAGGGAACGAGAGCGGTGATGTCGACGTTCGCTGTTGTTGCGGTTCTTCCTGTCGTTATTGTTGTTGATGCGGAGCGCCTGGAAGCGTTCGGCGGATTTGGAGCGGGGACGCTTCCCGCCGGCGACACTCGCGTCGACGTTCTCGGCCGAGCCGAGGGAATGGGACTTGGCGAGGCTCGACCGACCCCGACCGCCGCAGTCGCAGTCCCTCCCGGTCGAGTCCGGGTCGGAGTGAGGGTGCGGGGACCGCGAGGCCTGCAGGGGGACGCCGGGCTTCCGCGGTCGCCCTGTGCTGAAACGGAGGCTCGGCGCCGGGCTGTGCACGCGTCGACGTCGAGCGCTTCCTCCCTGCGAGAGAATCACGTGTCAGTGTCGCAACTAGAGCCGCGATCGGACGCTACGATTTTGTTCATACGTGAAATATATGCTCGTATGCGAATATATTTGCACGACTTCGTGCGATCATGGTCTACGAGCGAGTCATTGACTCCTCGACTTCCTTCGCACCTTTCTTTCAGAGGTGATCTGCCGATTGGTTGGGATGGCCGATCGGCGCGGTGCGGCGCTTCCCTCCCGCCAGATCTCAATTTCATTCAAGCTGCTTGAAACCATTTACTGACTGACATTTTTGCAAGACGGTTTCAGACGGATACAAACCTGCTGTCATGCGATATTAATTTTGGATGAACTCGACAGTGCTTCCAAAGACTAACTGGCAAAAAGTCCTTGCAGGAACCGAAACGGAAAATTTTCACCCGTTATCTCGCCCTTTTTGACGCAACTTACCCGCCGAAATACGCTTCTCGTGACTTAAAATCAATGGCATCCTCAACATTTTCTCAACAGAGTCCCGAAAAAAAAAACAGGAGAATGGCTATAGCTATCTCCATTTGCGGTCAAGTAAATTCCTTTCTGATAAGGCCTTGAAACACATTTTGCACAGAGAAACCAAGTACGCATACGAAAAGTTCTTCAAGGCTCACAAGCTTAACTCACAGCAGTCTAATCAGCCACTTAAAGCACATTCACTCGTGAGCAGTCCCATATGAATAAAATTATTGCGTTTGATCACGCCTCATTTATTTACACAATATAACCAATTTACATGGTATCCTTCTCACGCGAGAGATCTTTGCGGTTCCTGTCTGAAGGAGTTACTCTGAGAAAATTGCATTCCTCTCAATATTCATGCGAATATGCAAAAATACCTGTTAGCAATCTCGCATAAATATAAGAGAAAAATAATTCTTGGAAGTTCACCTATGAATATAGGCCGTCTGCATGTCACAAAACCGACACGTGTACACGTGCCGGTTTCGAATAACCCAAAACTAGAGGCAGTAAACGGCAGGAAAATTCCTACCTCGGAGCGACTTTTCCTTCCGCCACAACCGGGGAAGCTGGTGTAGCGAACGGCTAAGGATTCCGGCTGGGAATGACCGAGTTCCTTCAGCTGCTGCTGTCGATCCAAGTGTTTGGTCGCACTGGAACCGGTCTTGGAATGTATGGCGATGGGGTTGGGAACGCGGAACTTGGACAGAGCGGTCCTGAGCGCCTGGAGCCCGCCGGTCGACTCGCTGCTGCTGCTGCTGCTGAGACTCGCCGCCGGTCCAGGATGCTGTCGCGGGTAAGGGGGGATGGAGTGCGGCCCGTCCTCGCTCCCGCTGCTCTCGCTGTCTCTGCTGGGGCTGCTCACCGCCCCGGCGCTACTGCTGCAGCTCGCTCCTTCCACACTGCCACCGCTGGCGCTGCTTCCTAGGTCCGCCTTCACTGCTCCCACCGCAACATCAAGGAACATCATCCCGGTGTTACCAACTACTATACGGGCTTCAGATGATATTTTAGACACTATCAATAAATTCAGAGATGATTCATATACTTCACTCGAGTAGAAAAAAAGCCTGCATACTTAATATTTCACGTAAACATTCAGAAAACAATGCATCATAACTAATTGATAACTACAGGGTGTCTAAAAAAAATGGAACACCTTTCTAGAGTAGATTTCTCCGAGCATACCTAACCAACAGACATTTTGAAGAGATAGCCGGCAAATCCTTAAGCGTACATACGTTTTTGAAATCAGTTAAATGAATCAAAAGTTACAGCCAACGACGGACGGAAGGTCACGACAGTCTAGTGGACACGACGGAGCACCGTCGCCCTAGAGGCGACGGGAGAGGGCTTACTCAAACGGATTGAGGGCAGCAGCTGCGACCTAGTAGGTTGACCATAGGGCTTCGGAATATATTTTTTTCATCCCAAGTTCCGTTCTCTCTAGTCGCGATTTGTTCCGGTTTCTATTCCATTCCAGGATGTAGGATTTTTCTGTTCAGTTCTAATAAAAAAAAAGTCCGTTCCATACTGTTTCGTTCCAAGAAATTACGAACTTCATGGGGAAAAAATGTCATAAGGAAAAAGAAATAACAGGAAGTCTTTCCCATAAATCCCAAGTCTAGTTTCAAGTTTCATCCCGCTCTGCGTAAAAGCGAAAGTGGGAGGCTTGATTTCACCCTTGTGGATGAGTGAATGGACTTAAAATGAATTTGCAAGCTTCCTATGAAGAATTTTTAAAAAGTGGCATGTTGGTGGGTCTAGTTCTGTAAATAAAAATTTCGAACAGAAGTGTTCGCAGGTTAAGCCAGAATCATTGGAAAGGTCGAGGTTTTGGCAGAGATTCCAGCTCCGGAAACATTTCAAAGCTATGGAACTACATTTTGTATTAACGTCATTCTAGGACTACATACACGAGCAAATGATTAACTGCCAAGAGGAGGATAAATGTAAAAAAATTTGGCTGACTTGATCGTCGCCCGCGAGAGGCTACTTGTCTCTTATCGCCTCTGAATCCCTCCGAACCAGAAGAATGAACACGGGAAGGTCTCATTCCAGTCTCTGCCTGATTTAGTTATCACGTCTAACAAGGCTGTGCAGCATTTAGCATCTGACCCGACAATGACTTGTCCCAACTAACGCTCTGGGCTATCTGGATCGAGCGAGATAACATGTACCCCAAGGTTTCCATGTCACACTCAAAATGGACAGCTCCGTCTTTTCGCCGTCCAGTCATGAATCTTGGACCTGCATCGATCGAAAGAGCTTAATTTGAAGGAAGGCACTCTTTCCATGAATATCAAAGCGTACTAGAGAATTAATGGGCGTAGGAAGCCTATGAGGAGTCATTCCATACGCGATCAGAGAGGAATCCTTAAAAGTTCTGACTCACAAATCGGTTATCGGTCTTTCCGAGAAGAAGCTCTTGCTCCTGAGGTCTAGTTTCACGGCTTCGTAATAGAATAAAAATAAAAAATCAGCATTTTATATTCATGGAAAAGATTGTCGATTATATACTGAGTGGCGGAAAAAGGCGTCATGTCTGAGGCTTCATAAAAACCTGCCGTAGGAGTGCTAGATTTGTCTATTTTTTGTATCACACAGAAACACTCTAATATTTGCTTCATGAAAATTCTGAAGTCTCTGGATTAATTTGGTAAAGAGCAGCAATAGCTGAAATTACAATTTAAAAAAATTCTGGATTTGATTTTCCACTTATCGCGAGGCAGCGGTTTCAGCAGTACTCAACAGATTTGTCCCATTTGTCGATAAAAGGCCTGCTTCTTATGGCTGATTCTTATAGCAATGTTCTTGACAGTCTCATCGCGTCGTATCTAACAAAATGAAAGTCACTGCGTTCGAGGTTTTTTTTTGTGCTGGAGGGAAGAGACTCCACAGAACTGAGTCCACGATTCGATAGGAAACTCACTAGTCTCTTTCCTCTTCAATCCTTATTACTCATGCACAATATCAATTTCAGGCCTTACCTCCCCACCCGAGGCTTACAGACACGACATAATCAAGAGTACTATGACTAGGATATAGCATTAAAAAAAAGCCTGTATAGGGTCAAAGGAAATCTTTTGAGCGGTGCTTAGACTGCATCCGCCTCGTGCGTGAAAAATGTTGCGTTTTATGACTGCACTTTGACGCTTTTCATCCAGACGACCTTGACACTTGAAACTCTCGGGAAACAAAATTTGTAGCATTGCCAATGATAAACAAGGAAATTACGAACCTAGAATTCCCAGTCTGTTTCATAAAGTGTCAAACAAGACGCTTTTTATTTTTTAAAGACCTCTGGAGAAATGGGGCAAGTTGCGACCAAGCATGATCCAATCTATCTTCCCGTATGACAGCACGAAGTGGGGAATGAAGTCAATTCTGAGGAAAGTTGGGATAGGTTACTGTGCAAGATCGCAAAAACAGGGAAACAAAGTTTTGGAACGGAACGGAAGTTTACCAGAGTGAGCAATTTCATTCCATCGCTGTCATTAAAGAACGTTCCATGTACCGTTCCGTTCCAGTTGATCGTTCCTTTCCGAAGCCTTGGCAGGCCAATGGGCGTAAATTTTAATCGACTTTCTGCCAATGGGTTGTTTTTGCTTTTCGCTGTCGACGTAGGGAATCAAGTGGATGGTTAGTCACGGTCTTCTCCGCCGCAATTGAATCGTGCCGTTGTAAGCATGCCTCATTTCTCGACTGAAGACAAGGCTTCGCACAGACGAGGGCTACGGTGCTCACCGATTGCCGAGTTACCCAATCGGGGATCAACACTGGCCAGCTTGTCTCGATTATCGAAGAAAGTTGATCGAAACGACAAATTTCCAAAAACGATTCTCATCGAACGTATAAATGGCTGCTCGACTTGGAACAAAATTTTCACTTGCGCAGGTTAGCTAATCTCGGAGAAATCTCACTCAGAAAGTTGTTTATTTTTTTTAGCCACCCTGTACTGAGCAAGACATGACATGAGATACGATAGCCACGTGCCGAGGTCAGGCAATTTCAAATCATGAATCATTTTTTAATTCCCACCCGCTGACTGTTCTTTGAGGCTCACCTTCGGTCGAAGCGTGGACAGGGTCCTCTGACAACGACTTGTAGCGGAACGTGAACGCTCGCACGGAATTCATGAATTTGTGGAACTCGGATTCCATAACACTCGGCGCGTCATCTTACGCGACGACGTACACGATACGCATATCGCCGTGGACTAGATCGGCATCGACTAGAAATCACCTACACGAGACGGGAAGGGAAAACCCTGGATTGAAGAAGATCGACCGACGCGACTTTCCCATGGTAACGCGAGGACGCGCCACCGATATCCGGTATTCCGAGAAGGGGTGGAGGAGGAAAGAACGGAAGAAAAAAAAAAAGTCACAGGAAGGAGATTTGATTCTAGGAAACGAAGCCAAAATGAGTCGGTTGCAACACAGCTGCGTCTACTGAACTGTATATTCCAGTCCATCGCGAGGTAGGAAGGGAGAGAGTGAAAAAGGGAGAGCGAGAGAGAGGGAGGGAGGGAACTGGAGCCGAAGCCAAGCCAAATTCCGCTCGGAAAAGAAACACCGGAAGTAGGCGCCACAATGTGACTTCCGGGCTAACGGCTCTCTCTCCCCTCTTTTAATCAATGAATGAACCTACGCTGCGGATATCCCCTACCTAAACAGAGACCATGGCACGGATATTTTGATCCCCCTCACGGCTCGAACGAGTGACATTCCACGTCCAGCCTTCGATCGGTCTCACGGATTTCCGTAGCTTCGATTTCCAGGTCGGTACGACGCCATCGGTCGCGTTCGGGAGAATCCGGTCCGATGAGAATTTTCCTGAGATTTCAGACGGGTTCTAAAATTCACACAACATCGTAGGCGCAGGGTTCCAGCACGGGAACTACGGCAATACATTATTGCTTCTTTCCTGACGTCACTGCTGTGTAGTGGCTCAATCATCCCCTTCGCTAACCTTAGGGAATTCCAGGGTATCGAGGCACCGAGAGGGCATCAGGGGGCATCCTCTCCCCCAACACCCACGACCGTCCTTGAAAGCGGCTCCGAGATTACAAAGGAAGAAGGCGTGAGACTCCTTTCGAGAATAACATAATGTCGGAAAGGAGTCTCGCGAATGGCTCTCGCGATCCTCCATGGACCGTGCTGAATTTTTTACCTCGGCCTCGATGAACCTTATCAATGTTGCATCACGATTCGCGAAACGGGGGCTCGATTCAACGATTCTCGATTCAGCGAAAATAAATGATAAAGAAAAAGAAGCTCGGAGAGGCCACTTCCTCGTCGCAGATCGGACGCCTGCTCCAAGGCGATACGATCCTACGGGACCGATCGAGACGAGCGCCCGACGGAAGCGGGAACCCCCGTCGAAAGCGCTAAAAATATTCTCGCGATCGGGAAGTAACGAACGAACGGAAAAAAAAAACGATTCAAAACGACGACACCGAACCGCGAAACCCGACCCAAATCAGACGGAGATCCCCTGGTAAAAAACGGAGCAACAGGTGCCAGGAAGAGACGGAAGCTGCCTGGACGGACATCCCCCACCCCGTTCGACACCGAGTCACATACGACACTGAACGCGGCGGCAGACGGAACTGGATTTTGGCACGTCAGAGGAAAGGGGGTCAGGTTTTTGTGAATGGGGGTGGGGGAGGGTTTCGGGGTAGGCGATCCCATGAACGAGGAAAACCTGTGAATGAGACTGGGACGGGGGGCGGAAAGAGGAAAAGGGGGCATGCGCCCCGGGATGACGAAGGAAGGATCTATCGAACGGGGGAAGGAGCCATCCACGGAGCAGGGTCCCCCGTTTCCCCTCGCGCGTGCACACTGGCATCCCCGCGCCCATTCATCCCGTTTGGCCCCCTCGTCTCCCCTTCATTTCGCGCGGAAAAAGGAGCCAAGTCTTCTCGATCGAACGAAGTTGAAACGAAACGGAACAGAGTGCAACGAGCCTCGCAAGCACATGAACGGATCCTCGATGTATACCCTTGGGGACGCGATGGCGTCAGTCACGTGAACGATCCCACTGCCCCCTTCACTTGGGGGGAAATCTGATTCACGCCGGATATCCTCACGCCTCGTTCGTACGGCTTTTCTTGCTCAGTGCGGACGAGATAGAGAAAGAGGGACGGGAATGAGAGGCGGAGACCGCAATCGCGGGGGCGAGGGTATCCCTTATCGGGATCGGACCGTGGGAGGGAGCTATAATTACCCGGAGTAACTTCTTATTTTCAATCATATATAGCCGTAGGTATTGAAGAATGCAACAAAAAAAAGCTCCGTCCCCATATATTTTTTAGCACACTGTCGGTCGTAACTCAATCAAAACCAGTTCATGCCGCTTGCAGTCTGGGTAGAGAAAAACCAGCAATCTCATTCACTTTTTTCTCATCTTCAAACTTTAGTAGTATCCTTGAGATTATTTCGGCTCCATGTGAAGGCTGCTGCGTCGAGGGTGTTTGTCCGGGATCCATGTCCGGAAACGATCAGGTAAGTTTTTTTTCCCCCCTATTTTATTCCAACTTCAACAAAGGATCCAGTAGCACCCTAGCATATAGCAATTGCGGCCAATAACAATAGTCGCCCGTTTTCTGTTTCTTAAAACTACAATGAACATAAAATTTCTGAGTCATGATTTCATTTTCCATGAGCTGTTTTATGCCACGAGGACAACCATTCAGTGCAATCAACAGTTTCCACTCTGTAGACTAAGTTTTGCGCAGTGCTGCCTCGCAATGAGAAGAAAAAGTCCTGTCTCCAATTAACGTACCTCTAAATCATTTCAATTTGGATCAGGATAACTGATAATTAAGAAACACGAGCCTTGAATGACCTTACAGACTTACAGAATTCACGAGTCATCACACCACATTACCCGGATA